GATTTTTCGTTGATCGTTCCTTATCGTGCAATTTCGCTCATATATATTGCTGGCGCTTGAACATATTTGTCTCGTGTTATCAAGTTTCTCCCACGTTCAAATTCAAGATATTATCGACTAATAATCTATCTACACGTGTTGTAATTAGGTTGCGTCGACACGAGTGTGCTTGATATCTGTTGTCCACGTCAACAACACAAAAAAACGAGGTCGACATTATTACTCGATATTTGTCTTCATGTTAGCGCATGGACGGCAAGGACGGCAAGGACTTTTTATATAGATTCTAAATCCACTAAATAGTTTCCTAGTATATATAATTGTGATCTAGTTATCTAAGACATAGTTTGTCAACTGTAAAATACACTTACAAAACGTGTTTTTAGCTGGTTTAGTTTGTGGCCAGAATGACTTGTCACGCAACTTTATGTGATGTTTGTTTTGGGCATTATAAAGAAAATCGATATTAAAACATAATATATTTAAATAAATACTTCCCTTATAACATTTAAAATTTTTAAATAAGATTACTGAAAAAACATGTAAAACTTACTCAGTTGCACGGTGGCGGATTTAGGGGTGACTCAACCCTCCCAAGCCCCCAAAATAAAGAAAATTTTGAGGTCGGTCCATTTTATCGAGTTAGTTTGTGGGTTATAATTGGATGAAAATTCTCGAACGTTAGAATAGTTTCTTGATACTATTTTGAAGTACTCATGCATACTTCGTAGCTTATCTTTTAATTTGTAAAACAACTAAATGATGACGTTGCAATAACGGGTAAATAGTTATACAAGACGTGTTTAATAAATCTAATTCATGGCTGTCACCTCTTTTGACTATTTTCGAGCTATATTATTTTGAAGAACTTGCAACCAGCTATGGGACATATATTTCAAAATAAAAAAATCGTTAAATGGTGGACTTAATTAAATACCTACCAAAGATGGGTACACAGTTAATTCTATGAGAAATGCTAGAAGTGCATCAAGTGTTACATCAGGGTGTCCATTAATGTAACACTTAATGTACAAGAAGCACAACTCTAATTCTATTTCTTTCTCGTTAACTAAATGTCAACTTATATAAAATTTTATTCGACGCCAATTGAGACTCGTCTAATTTGAATAATTAATATGAAAATAAGATGATTTTTTAGGTCTTTTTCCTTGTACCATCAAAATCCTTTTAAAAGAAAAAAAATCAAAAAAGCTATTTGTACAATCATTAGTGGGTTACAACACTTACAACGCACTCACATTAGTGTGGGCCTTGGTAGAAGTATCATAATCATCTAATAAGAAGGACGAGTTTCCATTTCTTGAAATAACCGATTTGAAAATCTCTTGATTCTAACTAGTTATTAAACGTGAATGGATAAAAAACAAATTCGACTTACATTATGAACATAAATAATCGTTTTCTCCCTCTAAAGTTTAAATTTTTATCTTGTAATAAACAGTGTTGAACATTTTATCTTGATATGCCCCTCCTAAGTAAAACTTTACAAGTCCCAAACAAACCCTAAGATTATTAAATTTAAAGTTGTGTAATATCAAAGTTAGTAGGTAGTGACAAAGGGTACTTCCAAATTTAATGTGGTGTACGTACTGCCTATTTGTTGGTTTAGAAAATTTGAGTTCATGGAAATTTTTTGAGAGAATGGTTGGCCATGCAAGTAGGGGCCAGAAAGGAAATCTGTGCTCATTTGGTGGCGGCCCCTCTTTCCAAAGAAACGTATGTACAAGCGTGGGAAATGCCAATTGGATTGAAAGATGTCGACTGCTTTCCTCCTCCACCAGAACGATGTCGACTGCTTTGCTTTCTTCCTCTACCACGTATAGGCAATCAAAACGTTCACTTTTTATAGACAACATGACATGACTAAAGTAGTGAGATAAGATATATTTTTTAAAAATAAGTAACTATTTTTTTATTTTTTTTTTCTAAAAGTGAAGAAGAAGGAGAAGAAGGAACATATTCAACTTTTTTGAAAAAAGAAAAAAGAAAAGTAATTTTGCCAATATTTCACGATTATTATTTGAAAAATCTTTTTTTTTTTTTTTTACATATTCATTTTCAATCATGTATTCACGTAGTGTTGACAAACGGATCGAGCGGCTCGTGAAAAGCCAACTCGTGGGCGGCTCAGGCTTGTCACGAGCCGAGCAGGCTAGCTCGGCTTAGACTCATGGTCTCGTCCAAGGCAGAGGGTATATTCTATTTTTTCTTTTTAAAAGGGTTTATCTTTCAAAAAAAAAAATTGAAGAGTTCGCGAGCCAAAGCTCGACTCGGTCCACGAGCCAGAGCTCATGGGTCAAGCCGAGCTCGACTCATTATAAACAAGCCACAAGCTGGCTAGCTCGGCTCGACCTATTGCCACTTCTACATTCATACAATAAAATATTCTACATATAAATTCAAAAAAAATCGTACTTTTTAAATATATATTCTTCTAAAAATCACTATTCAAAATTTTATTTTATCATATAATGATTGTCAAATGGAGGTTTAATAGTAGCTCTTAATTTTAAAGGTTCGCAACGAGTATTTGGCCGATGACAGCTAATTTATAAGACGTGATTTGAATGCAATATGTCGATGACAAATGCATGGACCCACATCTTTGTGGAAAATAGATGCATGGATTCCTCATTTATTTTATCTATTCCATGTGGATCCCATCATTATTTATTTTGAACCACAACTACATGTAGGGACCAAGTCTTAATTTACTTGAATTACAGAACATGTTAATTGAGATTTGGAACTACTCTGATTTCTCCAACCAATTTCAGCTTAAATTAAGTTAAATGCAAATTACACGATGTGAGTTCCATCATTGTTTATTTTCAACCACAAATATACTAAAACCCACATTTTATAGGAAAATTCCATTTGTACAGGAGAGGCTTTCACATGCGTGCGGACCCTGCATGATTAAAAAATTCAAAAAAAAAAAAGTATGCCCCCCACATTTTACAGGAGAGGCTCTCACATGCGTGCGGACCCTGCATGATTAAAAAATTCAAAAAAAAAAAGTATCCCCCCCCCCCCTCCCCTCCATTGTGAACGCCAATCAACCTGTATGTCAACCATTTAGTTGTACAAATAACATGAACCTTATTTTATAAGTCGATTACTTGAATTGCAAACAATTTAAGTCGATAAAGTCGATAATATTGAAACGAACGTGCGAGCTCACAATAAACATTTTGAACTCTAGTTATAAATTATAATGTTTTATAGATTGAATGTAATAAATTATTAGAAAGGTATGAGATGAAGCTTATCTTGTTCAAAGTGGAGGAAATTCAATGAATAGAAAGTAAAAAAGGATAAGATGAAAAGAAGCGCAACTCTAACTATTTGAGAAACTACAGAATGATTGAGAAAAAAAATTAGTTCACCCAATTTTGATTCTTCGAAATTTGATTTACAAAGTTAGGTTTGGACTGAAAGAAGGAAAATGATATTTTGGGCTCAATTAATTAGTTGGCAAATTTATTTAGAAAAAAATAAAATCATTTGGCTTATTTAATAAAAAAATTAGAGAGATTCGACTCTTCGTCTATAATCGAAAATCGAACCAAATTTGTCGGTTCTAGTTTCTAATACCTATTCGAGTATTTAACTTAAGAAGTTTCACTAGGTTCTGTTCAATTTGGGACCGATTCGGTTTAATTCGTGAGTTTCGTCAAATCCTATCATCCCGTGTGCGTCATATGGGATAATTACCAACTTAAATAATGATTAATTTCGAAAATGATGTGTTAATAATCCTGAGAAAACTCATTTATTTTCATTGAAGTTGCTTTTTGACATTTTTTACGTAACACCATATTTTAGTGTTCCGATTTCTGCAATTTTTGAAAATTTTGAATTTGAACATACTAAAATGTTATGAGCATGTTTGACTAAATTTAAAATCCAATTAAAATTGAAAATATTAGCGTTATTGGGTCTCACTCGTCTAATAAAAGTCAACAATAACGATTAATTTTTCAATTTTAATCCGATTTTAATCTCTATCGAACACGCCCTATATATAATAAATATTTATTAGATATATTTATATTTTTAACAAGTGTATCTCCTATAAAATTATTAATCAATATTATAACACGTATTAAAAAGCTTTACTCAGGGTGTGTTTGAATCATATTATTTTGAAATAATATATTGATGGAGAATGTTTGATTGAAAAAGAAGGAAAATTATTGATGTGATGAAAAATATTATTTTATTGAAAAATATGTAATTAAAAATTACTAGAAAAATAAAAATAAAAATTTTAACGTGGAACAGACAGGGTTCAAACAATAATTGAACACTGGAAATACGGCTGCCGCAATTCAGTCGGCCACTTGGCGCCGCAATTCAGTCGGCCGCTATTTGGTTGACCGCATTGGCCAGAACTCTGTGCAAATATGATATAACTTTGGACGTATTAATTTTAATTAATAAGAATCCACATAAAGAATAAAAATAATAATTTAATTTTTGTAATAACTTTACCGTCCAGCTGAGATTTAAGTCAATTCTGGTTCCAAATCAAATCACTTCATACTTTCATTGTGAGAAGTCAAAGAAAGTTTCATTATACTTTTGAAAAGAAATGCCAATCAACAAGAAATAAGATTTCTTTTGTAAGCGAATTAAATTCTATAAAGTGAACTTATCGACATTTAAGAGAAATAATAACTCTATAAATGGACAGCTCCATTTTCTCATTATGCTCACAAACTCTTCTCCGTCCACATATAACTCCATTTCTTGTAATGTTTGGATCGAAAATGTTGCGCATCGAGTTCTCCGCTTCGATTCTCTTGTGCATAGTTCTTCCTTTTTTGTTCTTGATCTTGGCCAACTTGAAAACCATATTGAAAAATATCTCTTCTTCCTCCAATTCAACAAAGCTTCCAAAATCATACCCTATTTTTGGTTCAATTTTCACAATCTTGAAAAACAAGAATAGACGAGTCCAATGGACATCGGAAATGGTATTATCTACTCCCAACCTGACGTTTACTCTCTACCGCCCTTTCGGCTACCGGCAAATGTTCACGGCCAATCCCGCCAATGTCCAGCATATGCTCAAAAACCACTTCCCTAACTATCGCAAAGGGGATGTTTTCCGAAAAACATTAAGAGATTTTCTTGGAGATGGCATATTCAATGCTGATGGCGATAATTGGAAGTTTCAACGACAAGTTTCGAGCCATGAATTTAACACCAAATCTCTGCGTAATTTCGTGGAAATTGTAGTTGATTCTGAATTATCTGATCGCCTAATCCCAGTTCTAAAAAATGCCGCAGCTAACAAAATTGTGCTTGATTTGCAAGATATACTTCAGAGATTTGCCTTTGATAACATTTGCAAGATCGCTTTTGGGTATGATCCTGCTTATTTGTTACCATCTCTTCCCCATGCAAGATTTGCTGTTGCATTTGAAAGTGCTGTAACACTCATCAGTGAAAGATTCAACTCAAATATACCTTTTATATGGAAAATCAAAAAGGCCCTCAACATAGGATCTGAAAAGCAATTGAAGATTGTAGCAAAAGAAGTTCGAGAATTTGCGAAATCAATAATCAAAGAGAAGAAACAAGAACTTCATGACAAAACTTCAAAAGAATGTGTTGATCTTCTGTCCAGATTCTTGAGTTCTGGTCATTCTGATGAAGATTTTGTTACTGATATAGTGATAAGTTTTATACTGGCTGGCCGTGACACTACTTCTGCTGCATTAACATGGTTTTTCTGGTTGCTTCACAACAATCCAGAAGTGGAAAATGAGATTTTGGATGAGATTAAACAGACATCAGAAGCAACAGTTTATGAGGAAGTGAAGGACTTGGTTTATACTCATGCTTCACTTTGTGAAAGCATGAGATTATATCCACCAGTCCCCGTCGACACAAAATCAGCAGTGAATCGTGATGTTTTACCAGATGGGACTGTGGTAGCGAAGGGTACAAGAATAAGTTATCATCCCTACGCAATGGGGAGGGTTGAGAAAGTGTGGGGGCCAGACTGGGAGGAGTTTCGCCCCCAGCGGTGGCTGGAGGAGGCAGTGGAGGAATCTGATAGAAAGTGGAGCTTTGTGGGCAAGGATAACTTTACATACCCGGTGTTTCAGGCTGGGCCAAGAATTTGTTTGGGGAAGGACATGGCTTTCTTGCAAATGAAGAGGATTGTTGCCGGTGTCTTGAGGCGTTTCAGGGTGGTACCGGCGCTGGAGAAAGGCAGTGAGCCGATATATATATCGGATTTCACTTCAAAAATGAAGGGCGGTTTTCCTGTGAGAATTGAAGAGAGGGACGTTGATCTTCTCCAAAACTAGTTGTTCAATTATTTCGAATATTTTTAGCTTTGCTTCTTTTGTAGAAGAAGATGCGTATTTCAGCAGTCTCACTTGATATTGCGGGAATAATAAGAGAAGCTAAAATGCCAGAAGTGTGATTTTTAAAGCTAAACCAAACATGTTAGGAGTGTGATGTTTTCTTGTCTGAATTTTGATTTTTATATGGGATTACATTGTACTTTCGTATGAACATCCATATTCAGATTATCTATTCATAGCTAATTGCAAGTTATTAGAAAATATATCCTTCTCCTAGCATATAAATCAGATTATCTATTCATAATTAATTGCGACTTTTTTTGTTTAAGTCGTTGTAATGCGATCTTAAAGTT